TTTTTCATGCCTTCACAACCCAAAGAAGGAAGACAAATGCAATCAGCAGGCTTATTAGGGGAGATGGGCTTGTCTGTGATTCCTTAGCTGATATTGAAGACTGTATCTCATCATTCTACAAACAGCTTTTCACCTCTAAAGGACCAGTGCCAGACCTTGAGGACCCATTGTTTGACTGCATTCAACCATCCATCACTGCTTCCATGAACTCCAACCTGCTAGCAATGGTGGATGAAGAGGAAATCAAAAGAGTCCTAGACAGTATGAATCCAAACAAAGCCCCCGGCCACGATGGTATGTCTCCTTTATTTTTCCAGAAATATTGGCACATTATTAAATCTGATCTTTGCAAGGCTATCCTCAGTTTTTTCAACACAGGGTTTATTTCTCAATCTTGGAATCATACATACACTACCCTAATCCCTAAAATCAAAAATCCTTCTAAAGTGGAGCATTTCGACCTATCAGTTTATGTTGTGTTGCTTATAAAACCATTTCTAAAATTCTTGCTTCTAGACTTAAAAATTGTCTCTCTGCCTGCATTAGCGAGAACCAAGCGGCTTTCATCCCAGATAGACAGCTCTTAGATAATGTGATCATTGCTCAAGAAGCCATCCATTTTCTAAATAGGCATAACTCTGGCAATAAATTCTATATGGCTCTAAAGCTAGACATGGAGAAAGCTTTTGATCGAGTGGAGTGGTCATGCATTAAAATTGTTATGATTAAAATGGGCTTCCACTTGACTTTTATTAACTGGATTCTTGCTTGTATCTCCTCAACTAGCTTCTCTTTCAACATCAATGGCAAAAAATGTGGGCATATTTCCCCTTCCAGGGGCTTGAGGCAGGGAGACCCAATATCTCCCTACCTCTTTATTATTGTGTCTGAGCTTTTCTCTTGTCTCTTAAACAAATCTGTTGCTCAAGGCTCTTTAGCTGGCATTAAAATTTCTCAATCTGGCCCCTCCATATCACACCTGCTATTTGCGGATGATACCATTCTTTTCAGTCAAGCCTCTTCCTCTCACACTTTGGAAATCATGAATATCTTAAATGTTTACCACCTCTGCTCTGGGCAAAAGATAAACCTAAACAAGTCCTCTGTTTTCTTTAGCAGAAACACCCCCTCTTCTGTTAAAACTAACATCTGTTGTCTTCTTAATGGGGTCCAAATCACTTCTTCTAGCAAATACCTCGGGTTGCCCTTGGGCATTGGCCGCTCTAAAAAAGAAACTTTTAACTTTGTTGTTGAAGCGGCAAAAAACAGGATCTTAAGCTGGAAAAGCAAGTTCCTATCCACGGCGGGTAAGGAAGTCCTTATAAAAGAAGTGCTGAGTGCCTTACCCAACTTTGTCATGTCATGCTTCTTATTACCTTCTGGGGTTTGTTCTGAAATCTCAACACTGATGTCAAATTTCTGGTGGTCTAAAGGAGGAAACCAGGAAAAAGGGCTTCATTGGAAGCAATGGAATCACTTAGCTCTGTCTACTGAGGAAGGAGGGTTGGGCTTCACAGACTTAAAGTTGTTCAATCAAGCTCTAATTATCAAGCAACTGTGGAGAGTTTACACTAAGCCTCACTTGCTTATGAGCAGAATTCTAAAACAGAAGTACTTCCCTAACTGCTCCCTCCTGGACTCTAAACCACCACAGAGTTCCTCATGGCTTTGGAGAAACTGGATGGCTGTAAGTTCCACTTTTAAACAGGGGCTCTTGGTAATCATAAAAAATGGCAAGAACACCAAGATCTGGGAGCATCCCTGGATTCCAGGTACTCCAACACACATGCTTAAAGGAATGGAAGATTCATCTGGAAGAAGCCTTACATGGGTAGCAGAGCTGATAATCCCCAACACTGAAATATGGAATGAAGGGCTCCTTAGACAAACCTTCAGCTCATTGGAATGTGATGCCATCCTAAATATCTGTTCTCTTAACAGAAATCAAGAAGACAAGCTATCATGGTGTTTTAATAGCAAAGGGAAGTTCACTGTGGCCTCCACTTATGAAACTCTGCTGAACAACAAGATACTTGGCCTTGACCTCCCTGAAACTAGCAGCCAGGCTTCTTGGATCAAAAAAGTTAGGAGCATCAGTTGGAAACTCAAAATAAAAAGGAAAATTAAGCACTTCCTTTGGAAGTGCTTCTCGGGGATCCTACCATCACAAAACAATCTGAATAAAAGAGGGCTGAAGCTGTATAACATCTGCAAAGCTTGTGGAGAAATGGAAGAGACCACTGAACATCTGCTTTTCAACTGCACTAGGGCTAAGAAGATTTGGAAAATAGCTCCAGTCAACTGGAACAGCCTGCAAAAAGTTGTCCTCTCTTTCAAGGATTGGTGGAAAGAGGTCTGTTTAATGCATATGAACAAGGCTGCAAAAGACAGGATTCAATTAACCACGTACATCTTATGGTGGTTATGGAAGGCAAGGAACCTTTG